ATAACTCTGAGTGTGGTTGACCCATTCTGTTGACACATCAGAGTCCAATGTTCATTTTGTGGGAGCTCTGACAATGTGTTTTTTTTATGTGATCTAAAATAGCAGTTTCCACTTAGCTCCATTCTCCACCTGCAGCCAGGAGACTCTAGGTCTGGCTTTGCATCGAAATAGCTGTGTCATACGAGCACAGTTACTTAACCAGTCTGCTATAGCTAGACTTGACTTGAGAGCCTGCTTAATGGGAATTCTGGATCAACGAGTGATTTTGCAGAAGTTAAACAGAATGTTAGTGGCAAACTGGAACCTATAATTTCCTAACTTTTTATTTTTAGTACCATATTATGCTACCTTCCCTATCATAAAAGTATGTGGTGAGGATCAAGTAAGATAAATGTCAGTAGGACATTTAATATTAGGCATAAAATATTACAAGGTAAATTATTTCTACTTGCTTTTGTCAGGAGGTATACATGATCCTTTGTATTGTCATTTCTTGGTTCTTAAGCATCTTGGCAGCAGGGGTCATTTTTTATTTTTGCATGTCCCTATGCTCAAGGCCAAACTGATACATACAGGTGTCAGGAAACGCTAATAAATTGACACCCTTTGAAACTGAAATTCTTTCCATTATTTATGTAGGGTATACATGGTTAAGTTGATTGTCTAATAATAATTATATACTTCATATTCAGACCAGGGATTTATTACATTCATTACAAGTCATTTTCTGACTGATTTCTTGGGAGGCATATTAAAAAACTGAATAATATTTGGATAAAAGAAAGCACTCAATGATTTTAGCATTTTTTTCTTAATGTAATTTAACTTCAGGCAGTTGTCAGTGACAAATTTTAAGGTTTAATAAGGAGTTGGGATTTGCCTAGGATCAAATCTCACTCTTACACTTATTAGCTTGCATGACCTTAGGGAGTTTTTTTTAAGCTTCTCTGTGCCTTAGTTTCTTTGTTACTAGACTAAGAATAATAATGAACACTAGATGTTGGACTCATTTATTTACTCCCCACAACAGACAAATGACATAGTTGAGGAAATTAAGGCGTGTAGTGGTTATCTAACTGATAAATAGTAAAGGTAAGATTTGCACTCAGTCTAACTCCAGAGTCCATATTGTTTGGGCACTATGCTATCCTAACTTAAGATTACTTAGTAAGTTGTCCTGAGAAATAAATGAGGTAAACTATGTAGAATGTTTTGTACAGTTTTGGTTCTCAAAGCTTTTTAGGTTTTGGAGTTTGTGAATAAGGTTTTGTGGACCTAGAGATTAATTTAAGGGGAATTATAAATACATAGTTAAGTTCTAAACAGTTCTGATAGCTTGTTGGAAATGAAAGAACCACAGACATAATGGATTAGCATCTGCATTTTAAGAGTCTGCATTTAAGATTCTTTTAAAGTTTAAAAAGTACCGGAGTAGATGATGTTCGAAGGTTTCTTCCAGTGCCCAGTTGGTGGGTCAGTGGTTCTAGGGAATCAAATAGCAAGGATATTTTTAGCATTGATTATTGTATTTAGAGAAGAAAATGATAATATATCAAGTATTATTTTAATGTAAATCACTGTAATAGAGGTTTATTTCTATTTTTTGGCTTCCATGTTAGGTCAACTTTTGAGGTAATTAATAACTGTTTGAATTTGTAGAAAGTTTCTCATGTGGTCCAAAATGATCCTAAATTTTATCATCTTGTATCATCTTAGGAAATAATTAGAACTCAATTTTTATATGGTATAAGATCAATTGTTTTCCTTAATCTCACCAAATAACATAATAATATCAGCCAATTATATATATGTGTGTATATATGTGGGAACACTAAGAATAATATAAAACTTTCTAGTTTTGCACAGTTCACTATTCTGGTGTTTTAATGAACAGTTTAAAATTTGAAGTTAACTATTGTAAGAGATTAACTACAAAGCAAATGAACACCTGACTTGCTTGATTGAAAATGTGTAATTTTATTAGTCTATGGAATATAAAAATTTCTCTCAAAATTAAAGAAAGGGTCTTCTTTTTTAGATTTTTTAAAAAAATATAACAGTAATGTCTGTTTTGTTCACGCTAAATCATTAGTACCTGGCACATTTTTTTTTTTTTTTTTAAAGATTTTATTTATTTATTTGAGAGAGAGAGAATGAGAGATAGAGAGCACGAGAGGGGGGAGGGTCAGAGGGAGAAGCAGACTCCCCGCTGAGCAGGGGGCCCGATGTGGGACTCGATCCCGGGACTCCAGGATCATGACCCGAGCTGAAGGCAGTCGCTTAACCAACTGAGCCACCCAGGCGCCCCAGTACCTGGCACATTTTAGGAGGTATTGACAAGTATTTATTGAATGAATAAAAATTTGTGTTTTGATCATTTTGCTGCCATTTTCAAATGAGAGGAGATAAGATTGTGAAAACTTGCGTTTTAGACATTCAAGCAGCTCCCCATGTTAACTAACTGCTACATTTAATAATCTTCCCCATATTAACTAATTGTGATTCTTCTTTGAAAATTTTTTTAATTGTGAGAGGAATGATTCAAACAGAAGAAGAAATATTACATTTCTTATGCTCTCTTCCTTTATCTACAGCGGCAGCTGCTTGGTTCATTTTTAAAACCTCTTAATATATCTAAACAGTAAGTTGTTTAGCTTTGAAAAACTGGCTAGCAAGCATAAATCTAACTTTGTAAAGAAAGAATAATATTGCAAATATTAGGTCAGACCTCATTCAGGAAAGTAGTTTGAATGAAATATCTGGGTCATAGTCTGGTTTCAGCTTTCCTGAGAGTTTATGAGAACTCTTTGCAGGGAAGTCAGTGGATAAGGTTTTGAGTGAATCTTGAGAAATAGCATCTGTTTTACATAGTTGGGTATCTGGCAGTACTGTGATGTGGATCCAGGTACTGGGGTGTTCAGCAGAAGTATTGTCAGAGGGATTCGACTGCTCTGTATTTTATTCTAAATCCCCCTGGCTTTCAGCTCTTAGGAGTCAGAGACCACTTGTGTAGGTGAACTAGTATCCCCAGCTAATTCAGGGAGGAAATCATGAGGGCAAAGCAGAAACTTCATCAGCAGGGATTTCTGTCCTCTGGTTAAAAAGTGGCCAGCAGGGGTGCCTGGGTGGCTCAGATGTTTAAGCATCTGCCTTCGGCTCAGGTCATGATCCCAGGGTCCTGGGATCAAGCCCCACATCAGGCTCCTGGCTCGCTGGGAAGCCTGCTTCTCCCTCTCCCTCTGCCTCTCCCCCACTCATGCTCTCTCTCTCTCTCTCTCTCTCTATCTCTGTGACTCAAATGAATAAATAGAATCTTTAAAAAAAAAAAAAAAGTGGCCAGGATGGGGTCGCCTGGGTGGCTCAGTCCGTTGAGCGGCTGCATTCACCTCAAGTCATGATCCCAGGGTCCTGGGATGGAGCCTCACATTGGGCTTCCTGCTTGGCGGGGAGCCTGCTTCTTCCTCTCCCTTGGCTTCTCCCCCTGATTGTGCTCTTTCTCTCTGTCAAACAAATAAATAAAATCTTAAAAAAAAAATGGCCAGGATGCGGAAAAAGGATAGTAAAATTACAATTGAATAAGAATTGCACCAGTCTTATATAAAAGAAGAAATTTAAAAAACTTCCCCGGAGTGACATAAAAGAGAACAATGGAAAAATATTACTTGGGGTAGGAAGACTCATTATTATAAATTCTCCTTAAATAAATTCTAAGATTTCTGTTCATATGTCATCTGGTTGAGAGCTTCTTATATAGTCATATATATATAACTTACATAGCAACCACATATAGTTACTTTTATTTTTCTCCATAGCACTTATCCCCATCTGATATAACTATAAATTTATTTATTATTTTTTTCCCCTCCTGGAATGTAAACTTAACAGAAGTCTGTAAATTTATCAGAGTGTGCTTGTCTTTCTCTCCTTACTAGCATGTAGCCTTGTGAGGGTATGTTTGATTCCTTGTGGTTTCCCCAGCACCTTGTGCTTATAGCACATAGAACGCAGTCAATGACTGGCAAATGAGTGAATAAATAAAACTGTCCTTTCTCTCGTAATCCATAGAACTTATTGTCTATTCCATAGTTTTCTGGTCATTAATTTTGTTCACTTTAGCATCTTATAATGCTTTTTATTATTTTCTTTTGGTTCAGTGTCTAATTGTTTCATTCGTGTAAGACATTCTTCTCTGTGCTCCTTGATGGCAGGAATGGGACAAATGCTTCCTTTGTGGACCTCACAGTACAAGGCAAATGGATGTAGGAACTTGCTGAATTGAATACGTTTATTTATTCATAATTACTTAAATTGCTAAAATCCAGTTTGCCTTCATTAAAAGGAGTATTTTAAATATATAATACAGTATAATTCTAAACAAAATAGGGGTTTTTGTTTATTTTTAAGGACAGAATTTTTGGAGATGTTTTTTGAGCTCATGGTATATTTTGGTAATTGAAATTTGGAAGTTGTACAATTATAATTTTACAAATTTCTGGACACAATTTGAGTAAAAAACAGTTTTCGGTGAGATGTGGATTTCTTGGAAATTTTAGTTTTTTAAAAATGTCTTGTTATGCTGTAGTTTTGTTGGAACTTGGTTTTAAAATGAAATATTCTAAACAAGTACAACTTTGTATTCTACCTAACTTTTTATATATAAATGTTTTCATAAATACTTTTTTTTACCATTTCTCATGCCAGCATATCATTCAAAAATTTGTGTAATGATTGCTTGCTGTGCATTTACATTGTCATTACATTTTTAAAAAATCATTGCTGATGTACTTAAATACCTTTCTGCATAAAAATTTTGTATATTGTTTCTTGGAGATAAATCTCTAAGAATGTAGTTAACATTTTCAAAAGTAAATACATAACAATTACTGAAACAATAACTATATGTTTAAAAGGAGAAATGTAAAACTATGTAAAAGTTTTGTTGGTTCTTTTCTAATTCATATGGACATTTATTTATTAAACATTTTTTTTCTTTATTTCAGACCAGTCTATCCATATGGGGATGGGGAAGCCTTGGCATTGTCCTTTCTCTAATAACCTTTGGACCCTTTGTAATATTTTATTTGGCCTTTTATATCCTCTGCTTTGTGGGTGGGTAAGTATTCTCAATGATAATCTTATAATTTAAATGTCATACACTTGTTAGAAATTGAAACAAATGACCATGAAACCTCAGTAAGAAGAAAAAAAATGACCATGAGAAATGGTAGTATGATTTGTGAATGCTATTTTTGCAAATTATTTTTTTACCAAAGTTAAATAAAATAAAATTAAGATATGCAATGTAATAAAAGTGGTGGCGATTGTTATTTGTACCAGAAATATGGATAGTCATCTTCAAAAATTTTTTTGATGATATAAAACTTTTTTGTATAATTTGAAAAGTTTTAAAGATTTTTATTCCTTTTGGTGTTAATTATGTTTTAAGGTTGAAAATTTTTTATTACAATATTAATGAGATAAGTAAGTTAAATTGAGATGGTTCATCAAGTTATACATAGTATAGTAGAAGATACTGTTTCATTGATTAGACTTCATACAATATTATTTCCCTTAGTGAATGCTGTCATTTTGTTATAGAAAATTCAAACACCTGATTTTGCTATTTTCTCTTCATTGTTTATTTGATTATGCTTTACATTGAGTTGATAAACGTTCACAAGAGAGGTTTCAGTCATAATTTAGTATAGCTTTGTATGTGGAGCATTTGGCTCAGATGTGAATTGTATAAGAAAAGTATAGAAAAGAGAGGTGGATGCTTGTTACTTAGATACTCACACCAAGGTAGCTTAACTGAGCTATTTTGTTGTTACTATATATATTTATATATATGCTTGTGTGTATGTATGTATGTATATATAAGGTACGTTTATGTAATTATTTGTGGAATGAATACCTTTGAGTTCTTTTTAAAAACTCTTTTGAGACTCCAAATATTTGGAGGAGTTCTTGGAAGCTATAGGTTTAGAGAACTTAGCTGAATTGAATAGCATATATAAACTGTGGCCTGAAAGACTATATGAGACACTCAAGGAGTGGTTTCTGATTGTACTTACCACCTCCCACCTCTTTCACGATAGGGTTTGAAAATTCTGTGTGGCCATTTTAGAGGGAGTGCACCCACTGTTTGTGAAACAAGTGAGATTGAAATCAAGCAGCTACCTCAAGGACTATCCCTAAAACTGCATTTATTTTAGATTTAATAGTTTCACTATAATTGCTTAGATATGGTACTGGATACTGAAACAATTAGAAATAAGCCATCAGGACCAGATAAATGGAATTTCGAATATCTTTATTGACTAAGATTATTGAAGTCTATAGGTCTGCAGCTCCCTGGGCTTCCTAAATTACACTTCTTTGTCACAAGTGAAGACGAGAGCAGAATGGTTGCATAGCTGTACGGTTGCGCCTCTTCCCCACAGAATCATGGCTGCTTTTACTGATTGGAAAGGAGGCTGTTTTGAGGAGATGTTTCTCTGAAAAGGAGAGATTTCTTCTCTTTCATGAATTGAATAAACCCTGGGCAAAAGTGAAAGAGAATGATTTCAGACTATTTCCCAATATTTCTGAAAGGGAGGAAATTGTAGCTTTCTTTGTCAGTAGGAGCCCTAGGAACCCTTGGAAGTTGGAGGGGTGGAGAATTATTTCTCATACTAAAGTGCTCCATACAAAGTTCTTGAAGAGGGGAAGGGTGAGGAGTCCATGCATTTCAAAGTCTTGGTAACCTTTCTTATTTCCTTTTTGAGTCTGCAGATTTATCAGGGAGTAATCAAAATTGATTTTAGATACTTCTAAAGTTCTGTAAAAATTTTTAGATAAGATGGGATATTAGATGGCATGCTAGGATCACTAAAAATTTTTTAGGTAATATTAAGAGTCACATGGTAAGGTCTGAAATTCCAAGTTCATGCTATATCATAAATGTTCTGGTCTGATGTTCTGTTCAAGATTGTTAATCTCAGTGAAATTCACTGCCATAGTAAGGGGACTTCAACTTAAGTACTAGAAAGCCTCCCAGAATTCTCTTAGGGGATTAATTAAGCATTTCTAGATTACTCAGTTATGGTCAATGAGTACCATAGTTCCTGAATGAAATCTTTCCTATTTTGGCTATAATTAGAAAAGAATGCTTGTTTTTTCTTTGATGTAACTTAGTATAGTTTAATGCCTTATGAATTGGAAGAGCAAATACAGGCTTTTAAATATCAATCTCAAGTAAAATAATTACATTTCATATAATCATTTCTTGGTTTTAGTGTGTTTTTTATTGTCTAAGTTTTTAAGATACTTTTTTTCCCTTATATAAAATGCAAGTTTGAGAGCAATTGATACATTCCTATGGAAACCACCTTTGTTTAAAATTCTGCAGTTATCCATCTACAGTGTTGATAATGTATATGTTTTGCTGATAGTCAAAGCTAACTCCATATTTTCTACTATAAAGATAACTTTTGGAAGGAAAGTCACTTAGAGTTTTTTGTATTATGTGTTTTTTTGGGGGGATACTATTGATACTGTGTTATGGGTTATTTAATGGAATTCTGTTAGGTTGCATGATGCAGTCATTTGTAGCACCTGTTTTTACTTAAACCTCAAGGCTGAAACAGGTGCTTTGTAAGATTAGACTGTTCCTTAGTTTACTTTCCTGCTATCATTCTTTGGACAAAGGTTAGTGTTTTATCAGTCTGTCTCATGATGATAATTTTAGAAATACATAGTTAATATAAGCATTTAATTATGTCTGTAAATCTGCTTATCACTAGATATAACTGAAATATGGGGCCAACTTGATTCTTAGTAATAATATCAGATGCAAGACAGATTAAATTTATTGACAGTTCCAAGGCCAGCTTTTTTAAAAAGAAACAAAAACAGAAGTGATAACATGGGCTGATTTGACTTTGTTTTCTCAACTCATCTTTCAGCTTTTGCGGTGCTTGTACTAAAGAGCAGCAGATAGCCACAAAAAGCAGAGGACTTTGAGAACCTTCCTTTTAGTAGTTGAGGCTGATCCATATTTAATTTTTCATAGTTCCCTTCTTGTCACAACAGCGGTTGAATTGTTGTAAGATTACTGTAAGATTATTATAAAGTTAGAATTTGATGTTTTTCTATTATGGATTTCCTGTCTACTTAGTGGTGCTTTGATTTAACTGGTAAATTTTAAATATAGGAAATATTGATAGCATTTAGTCAATACTTAGAGTAAAACAGTTTTAAGCCAGTTTTTATCTTAACCTCAACTTTATAATTGTTTTAAAACTAATTAGCCTTTGGAATGTATTTATATGTATTTTTAAATTCCAGTCTGATTATAAACTATATCTTTTTTTTCTTCTTTGGCCTTTAATTGTTTATTCTGTTTCCATAATGGCAAGTTACATTACTCTCTCACATTAATTAGTTAATAGAACTATAGAAATGTGTGATTTTAGCTATAGATTTAGATCTCAGTTGTCTTCATCCTTGGTTACCTAGCCTACTTATTTAGCAAGGGCTGATTTTCCAAAAGTTTGAACTTGTTGCCTGGGATTCTTTATGAAACATATTTATATGAAAACTTTGAAAGGCATTCTTGTAGAAGTTCACAGAATGTTTATAGTTGTTTTAAACTTCAGAACATAACAGTCAATTCCTTGAAGTCAAAAGCTGATTTTTTAGTGAGTGATAAACCATCTATTAAATCTGAAAAATATCTTTGGTTAATAGATGTGTTAAGTTATAAAAGAATTTTGTTTTTGTTTCTATAATTGAATTTTTTATTCCCCAGGGGTTTTGTGGTTACTCTCCTATTTGGAAAAACAAACTCAGAGAAGTACCTAGAGCAGTGTGAACACTCATTTCTTCCTCCAACGTCAACTGGGATTCCTAAGGTAAATAGGGTAAAGGAATGTAAAACCTCAAAGTCTTGTGCTATGAAATGATGGTAATGTGATCATCTGTATATGGCTTGGCAGATGTTCCTATAATTCACTAATGCTCAGTATAAACTTACGGGACACTTTCTGATCATGCTTAGAAAATACATTTTAAAAGATTACTTTGAAAACTTTTATAGTGTTAGATGTTAAGAGTGGGAATGCATATTTTAGGAAAAGATAGAAATTTGGGGCCTCTTCCTACTATCTTGACATAGGATTTCAAAATTTGAAATGAAATGAATTGCATAGAAACCAGAGAAAAGAAAATGGGTATTCTTTTTTAACTGACTTGAAAAATACAGCTTGCTGTTAGGCTGTGCAGTATCTATATTTTTAATAATTTAGGCCCAATTATATTTATATCATCTTGAATGTTGGTATTTTTTCCATTTTTTAATACCATAATCTATAAGTAAAATTGGAATTTGGTACTATAGGTAGGCTTTAGATTTGCATTGTCTTCAGTTCTTGTGGTATTGGGATGGTTTGTTTCATCTTGTATGAAAACAGAAAGTGATCTGGAGTTACTGCCAGTATCTCATCTTTACAGTTATAACCTGTCCGTTATGTGCTAAGATGTAGGAGATGCAGAGATAGTAATATACAGTATTACTTTAAATTACTGAAATAAAAGAATTTCACCCTATCCTTGGAGGTTGCATGTTATAATTTGAAGTGTGTGTTTTATATATATTTGTGCTTTTTTTGGTTTGTTTGTTTTTGGTTTTTGTTTGCTTGTGTTTTTAATTGAAGAGTGTCCCACAACTTTTCACTTTATTTCCAGACCACTGATCTTACTGAACACTACAGAGAAATCGAGAAATTTGTTTTCTTTTGTTGCTAAAAATTGTCCCTAAATAAAATTAATTAAAAAAATTTATTTGGCACCTGCTATACTGTTTTGGGCTGGGAGGGGGAAGGGAGAAGAGGAGGAGAGTTTAATAAAGACAATTATTAATTTGATTCACCTGAAACACTAACTTATGGTTTTAAAGTTTCATTGAAATACAACAATGTATCTTACATTTTGAGTTTTCTCACATTCTAAATGATATTTGCCAATTTTACTAAACTTTTGAGGATAACAATAGATCTTTTTTTCCTGGGTGTCTAGCTCCGTTAACTTGAGAAATAGTGTTTGGTTTGTATCAGAGCATTGAGAAATAAGGTTACTGACTGAGTTGAAATGACAGGGAAGTTGCAAGTTAGAGGTAAACTATACAGATTTTAAATCCAGAAACTATGCAGTAAAATGTTGTGATTTCCTTTAAGTGCTTAGAAGAAATGAAACGAGAAGCTAGGACTATAAAGATTGATAGAAGATTGACAGGTGCCAATATAATTGATGAGCCTCTCCAGCAAGTGAGTTTTCGTATGTGGTATTTGAATTCTTTATATTGTGTTGTAAAGTATATTTCTTTTGAAAATACAAGGAAATGAAAAAATACAAGGAAAATGAAAAATACAAGGAAATGAAAAAAACAAAAAAGAAAGAAAATACCAGGAAATAATTTTTGCTATTTATGTAATAGGCTGGAAATTCACTGTAATGCTGCTCTTGGATTCTGCACTTAAAGATACTGCCTTATTTATGAAATCATTTATAATGAAGTGGTTTATGTAGTATTAAAGCCTTTTGTTTGAATTTGCATTTAATAAAAAAGTTTTTGCTGACCTATTTGATAACGTTTTGAATTATTTTAAAGTTAAAATGCTCTTTAGCTGATGAATAAGCTTAGTGTTTTGGCAAATCAGACAATTTGTATTATAGTTTTTTAAATGGATATACCTGATTTGATTCAGAAATCTTAAAAAATTAGAATTAAAAATTATTCTCCCTTCAGATAGTTTTAATTGATGTTTGATTATATGATTATTATAATGTGTTCTTTAAAATGCTAACATTTCTTTTATAGTTAAACCCATATTTAGTTTATCTGATTTTCAAAAATAATACACATCAAGTTGTATTATTTGATGTATTGACTGATTTAATACTCTTGGCAGTATCAAAGTTATTAGATTTAAGTGAACTATTTTTTTTTTTGTAATTTGACTGCAACAAATCTGATGATATAATCTTGGAAAAGTGGTTTCTTTTTGAGAATTAGGGTCAGTTGGCATTATTTTGCACCTCATTCCATCAAGCTAATTAAAACTCTTCATTATATTATAGCATTGAAAATTTATTTTTTTTGCCAGCTCTGTCTTACCTCAATATGGGTAGGGGTTGACCATAGATAACTCTAATTTTTAAAAAATTTGGGCAGTGGGTGAATTGGGACACCAAAATAATTTAAAATTTTTTGAAATGGTTTTTTAGCATATCAGTCCTTTTGTAATGAAGGCAGTTTTTTTTAAATCATAATTTAGTATGTAGAGAGTAAATATAAATTGGTAAATAATCCTTTCAGGTTTTAGTTTGCTGCTGATACTTTTTAAATCCTAAAAAGCTGTGTTTTTTTCCCAATATTTTTGTTTTAGGTTATCCAGTTTTCTTTGAGGGATTATGTCCAGTATTGGTATTATACACTAAGTGATGATGAATCTTTTCTTCTTGAAATTAGGCAGACTCTTCAAAATGCACTCATTCAGTTTGCCACTAGGTAAGGTCACTGATGCAGAAAAATTTAAATATGTTGTTTATACCAGTAAGGAAAATGACTTTTAAATGGGAGAGGGAAATTATTACTATTAATTATTAAAAGGTAAGTAAAACAGTAGATGATTGTGAGATAACTCTCAAATTATAGAACTAGAGCTCTAAAAACCTGTACTTCTTTAAATTTAGCCTTTACATTTACAGAATGTTTATCTTGATTAAACCCTGTTCTTTCAGTCTGAATGTCAGTTTCTTCCTCAGGGTCCAGTCATGTGACTTTTACCTCACTTAGTGAGAATATTTTTTTTCACCTTTTACCCAGATACTCTGTTTTATTTGAGTGCCATGGAAATAGTTTCAGTAAAACTACTCTTACTTTTGACACATACCTTATAGAAGTCCCCTCAGTGGGAGAGGAAACCAAAGGAGCATAATTCAGTGGAGAATATTCAGTTTATATATTTTCAGAAGTATATTTTGATGAGTTTGCTTTAAGAAATTTTTGTGAGATATACTAAAATTCTTACTTTATAAAACCCACTTATAGGGGCGCCTGGGTGGCTCAGATGGTTAAGCGTCTGCCTTCGGCTCAGGTCAGGATCCTGGGGTCCTGGGATCGAGCCCCGCATCGGGCTCCCTGCTCAGCGGGAAACCTGCTTCTCCCTCTCCCACTCCCCCTGCTTGTGTTCCCTCTCTCGCTGTGTCTCTCTCTGTCAACTAAATAAATAAAATTAAAAAAAAAAAATAAAAAAAACAAAAACAAACCCACTTATATACTGCCTCCTCTATGACACAATATTTTGGTCTATAACATTGTATTTAAACTACTTGATTTTTTGGGGTAGCCATTTTACATACAGAAATGACTTAATTTTTGAAAGAAAGGATTTTATGTTTAGATGAGTTTGAAATTTTTTTTGATTAAAAGATTTTTCTACCCACTACACACAAAGATTTTCCTACTAGCATGTAGCCTCAAGGCAGGAAGCTGCATGCCATGGCTATGAGAACACCTTTAAATCGGAAGGTGTTAGTTTTCAGCTAACCCCCTGTTCTTCCCTACTTAGGTTCTTGAAATACAATCTTGTACTTTTGAGAATCTTGGAGAATAGAGCTTTGCCCTGGGGCTTTTACTGCATTTTTATCTCTGTGTACATAGATGTTTCCTGCTGAGGCTACCCTGTCAGGACTTTTCATCTGTAAGTCAGTTAATTCTAAGCTTTAGAGTAGGAGGTTAGTTCCTCAACCTCAGGTCATTGGGGAAGCCTGCAGTAATGTTTATGGTTTGAATAATAACCTTACTTGTAGAGAAAAATTTGAGTTCCTTCTCCCTTAGTATTAACAGCAGACATTTGCAGAGTAGCCAGCCTTAGTTACAAGTGTAGAGTGGCTTTGGAACACAAAAAATAAAGTATAATCAAAGTTCAGAAATAGGATTTTATCTCCTTTATTTCATATATATAATGTTATTGAGTATTAGGTATTCATTTTTTCAGGCAACTCATTCTGAGTCAGTCATTTGCTACTTTCTATAGTAACATCATCCTAATGACTTTTTTTTTTGCCCTTTGGAAAGGTGGGAATAGGAGTTCATTATAGATGTGTCTGACTGCCTAAGTATATATTGAAATATAACAAATTTTAGACCTGGAAAGAACTTTGAACTAGTAATAAGAGACCTCAGTTTGCATTCTGCTCTACTACTTAGCTCTGGAACTATGAGCACATATTTTAAACTTTTTGAATCTTGGTTTTTCTTATATGTGATATAAGCATAGTAATATCTGCCCTGTTCTGTGTTCCTCACAGGGGTATTGTTGGCATCAAATTCATCTATCCATTCAACTAATATTTTGTGCTTCCTTTGTACCAACCAGGTGCTGCAGGTACTGCAGTGAATAAAACAAAATCCCTGATCAATGGAATGTAATGAAAATAATAATTTTGAAAATTGTGAAGGAATTTAGAAATTTAAGTTTTTAATGCCCTCTGACATTTATAATTCCACAACAGATGAGGAAGCTAAGGTACAGAAAGATTAAATGGTTAGTCCAAGATTATCCAGCGAGTTGGGGCAGAGTAAGAATTAGAATCAGATTGTTCTTAGCAGTCTAGTGTTCTTCCTCCATTCCCTACCAGAAGATTTATTATGATCTAGATTTTTCATTTAGTTTCCCCCACTTTTTTTTTTTTACCTTTCATTGCAATGCTTTCCCTGTTTTTGATTCCCCCAAACCACTTTTTCTTTACATTTCATGTAATAAATTGTTCTGTTTTTGGTTTCCCCCCCCTTTGGTAACATTGTATGCTATCAAGCTGAATATTTAGGTGATTGCAGGAAAAGTCAGATTTCTTCCATCCTAGACTGCTCTGAATTTATATCTTTGCTTTCTCATTGGCCTTAAGATTTTGGACAAATTAATCAGCTTCTTTTGAACCGTAGCTTACTCATTCATAAAAGGTTGATAATAACGAAGTTACTTTTGAGGCTGTTTTCAGGCTAAAAGTGGTATGAAGTAAAAGCCCCTGGCATTCTGTAAGGCTCAGTAATTGATAGTGCCATCTCTGTGAATGACTTTATTTTTGTTCTATGTTGGTTTTTTTCTATTACTACTAAAAGGTACGTCTTACAGAGTCTCCCTGTTTTCAATGCTAGTATAAAGAAAATTAGGTCTGTTTACAATCATTTGAGTACTACTTCAGTCCTTGTTCTGTGCTGTCTGTTGTATATTCAGGAGCAGACAACAGGAGAGCTACATTATTGCCTCTGTCTTTCAAGTCACAGTCTTGTATAGGGGGCCCATGAGGTCCTGAAAATGTACACAGAACTGTTTTTTTCCCTTTTGAGTGGTTATAGATTTCATTTTTAAAAGGACCTATGAATCCAGAAAAGATTTAGAACCACTCAGTTCTAGTGTTCATATTTATTCATTACCCTAAGGAAACAATTACAGAGTATCAGCATAAAATGAAATGCTAATTTTGAGACATAACAGGAAGAAAAAGATATACTTAGAGTCTGAAGTCCTGATTTTCAGCTTTAGTGCTATTATTTATTAAGCTGTATGGTCTTGAATGGGCAAAACACATAAATTCTTGGAGTCTGGTGATAACCCATATCTACTTATCAGGTTGTTAGGGTTAAATGCCCTCTCTCAATGCATCACATGTGAGAGAGTACTTTGTAATGATAACACCTTGTATTAACATTAGTACCTGTTACTCTAGTAGCAATTTGGGGATGGAAACCTTCATAGAGCACTCTTGACTCCTCTGTGGTAGAGCCTGGGTGTGAACTAGGTTGGAGCTTTAGGGGTTGAATCTGAGTGAAATAACCTATGTATTTTTATTTCTCTTCAAATAAGATATTATGTACAAGACCGAGAGTCCTGGGAGATTTGTATAATAATTCTACCTGTGCCATTGAGTTACAGTGTACTTAAAATTTCTTAACAATGTGTAAAATAATAATGGTAATACTTGTAGCAAACTTAGAATTGTGAGGGGCAAATGAGATGATGTCCAAGAAGCATTTCCTGAAGTATTTGTCAACCAACAAGTGGTCTTTTCAGCAAGTTACTTGACTTTCTGTGTCTCAGTCTCTGCATCAGTAAAATGGGATAATTATCCCATGGGGTTGTTGTAATGTTTATCTAGAGGAGTAGTGCATGTCACACACCACAGGATCTAGTACATAGTAAATGTTCAGTGAGTGTTAACTTGGCTGTTACTGTTAATTTTTGTTATATATTACCTTCCTAGGATATATATACACAGATTCTTTGACCTTGTCTTAGTTTGTTCTATTTTGCGGGGGGAAGGAACAGGTGGAGACAATATTAAAGCACATAAAATGGAGAGAAATAAAGTAGTCATTTGTGTGGTACTGAGAACAATTTTTATCTACAGGTAGAATGGACCAGAGTAGCTAATGAAGACCTCATGTGGATTAAGGTTAAAACTGGTCTTCAAGAATGAAGGGGGGCGGAAATCGGAGGGGGAGATGAACCATGAGACTATGGACTCTGAGAAACAAACTGAGGGTTCTAGAGGGGAGAACACAAGGTGTTCTAGAGGGTGGGGGGATGGGTTAGCCTGGTGATGGGTATTAAAGAGGGCACGTACTGCATGGAGCACTGGGTGTTATATGCAAACAATGAATCATGGAACACTACATCAAAAACTAATGATGTAATGTATGGTGATTAACATAATAAAAAAAAAAATAAAATAAAAAAACTGGTCTTCAAGAATGAATAGTGGGATAGACAGAGGGATGAAGGACATGTTAGGAAAGAGCAAAGTTCTGAGAAGGGGAATAAGATTAGTGTGGTTGAAGCAATAAGGAGATACAAGTGATCAAGGAGTCTTGTTGCTTTCAAAAGTGTGAAATGTGGCAACTATGTTCATCTCTGTTCCGGTTAACCCCAAGATTAGCAGAAAGGAGATACATTCTAATGCCACTGGGTTCTTCCTAAAGGGTTTTCCCATGGCAGGAGGAGGAGGTATGGCTGAATAGGTTCCAATTTTCAGTGGTTGTGATACTAATGATAGCACTGTTTCTGGAACGATGGGGGATATGTTCTGAAAGTTTAACCATTTTTCTCACTAACCATTTTGCTATAGAAGTAATAGATCGTGTGTTCCTAGACTTGTCCAAAAGGCAGGCACATCACATAATGGACATTTGCAACAGTAAAGTTGTATATACTCTTTTGCCATTTTACATTCTTTGCCATTTGAAAACTTAGCTTAAAACTGACTTTAACTAGAAAGATGATTATTGTCATATTTACTACAATATAGCAAAAACAATTAGGAACCATTAAGTATTTAAAAGAAGGGGCAATAAGTTAATGTTTTTGCATATGTAGAATAGACCAGGGGTTGTTAATTGTATAGTTATATAATTCACATACCATACAGTTTACCCACTTAAAGTCTCAGTGGCTTTTAATATATTTACAGAGTTGTGCACCCTTCATTACAATTTAAGAACATTTT